CATCATATTCTTACATTCCAGACGCTTGCTTATGTGTATAAAAAAAGAAATAGAAGATTTCACAAGCCAGGCAGGTAGAGGAGGAAAGCCAAGGGGGCAGGAGCTGACAGAATCATCTAACTTCCTTTGAGCTGAGATTGGATGTCTGGGATGAGGGTGGGGATTCCCCCATGTAGAGAAAGAAGTCAAGTATTGGTCTCTAGGGCAGAGGTGAGAATGCTAGTGAGTCCAAACAGCCTATCTTGGCCTGGAGAGATGGCTCAGTGTTGAAGAGCCATGACTGCCCTTCCAGAAGACCCGGGTTCTATTTTTAGCACCCACATGGTGGTTCACAACTGTCAACACCCCGGCTGCCGAGGATTCAATATTCTCTTCTGTCCTGTGCAGAGACCGTGTGCCTGTAGTATATGCAGGCAAGACACAAATGTGTCTAAAAGAAATCAATTTAGAAAAGAGGGACCCACCTCTGGATATAAGAATCAGGACAGCCCTTAGAGGAATAATTGCAACTGTGAATCAGGAAATCCATGAAGAGTTCCTGAGAAAGGGGTAGAGGCCGAGTCGAAGAACTGATAATGGGTCATGCGTGACAGGAGGGAGAGCTGTTAAGATCTGAAGTTTAGCTTTAAGAGGAGGTTGTGGAGAAGGCTGAGAGAAAAGGTAGGGTCTCTGGAGGGTTGCTTTAGGTCTCCTTAAGGTTAATCCCATTAAAAAGTTTTTGAGTATTAGTTGCTAAATATCACACCATATATTGAAAAGGCTGACATAGCCCAATATCATTTTGGCTTTGGACCCGCGGCATCCTAAACAAGTGTAGCTTGTTGGAGGTCCAGCATGACTGTGGCTCCTTTTCTGAAGGTTCTGTCAGTGGTACATGGCCACTCGTGTGCCAGGGTAGCCCGGAGCTTACTCTGAAATCGAAGCAGGCTGGGATGCCAGGGAGGCAGATCCTCAAGGGACGGAAGTGGTTACTGAAATCATCAAAGAGATTTCTGTGGAGCCAGAGAGATGGCTCATCAGGTAAGAGCGTTTGCTGTATTTGTAGAGGATCCAGGCTCAGTTCCCAGCACCTGCATGGTGGCTCACAAGCATCCACAATCTCAGCTTCAGGGAATCTGATGTTCTCATCTGCTCTCCACAGTTACCAGGCACACACCTGGTACACAGACACATATACACACACACCTGGTACACAGACACATATACAGCAAAACGCTCACACATAAAGTTTCTTCTCTCTCTCTCTCTCTCTCTCTCTCTCTCTCTCTCTCTCTCTTCCTCTCTCCCCCTCCCTCTCTTTCTTTTTTTCTGTTTCTTTTTTTTTTCTTTTTTCTTTTTTTTGAGACAGGGTTTCCTCTGTATAACAGCCTTAGCTGTCCTGGAACTAGCTCTGTAGATCAGGCTGGCCTTGAACTCAAAGAGATCCACCTGCCTCTGCCTCCCAAGTGTGAATTAATGGTGTGTGCCACTACCACCTTGTCAAACAAATGTTTTTAAAAGAAATTATTTTGGGGTTATATTATCTATCAGTCACATTATACTCCAGGTTAAATTACTTATTTTTGTTCTCTATAGTTGATACAACACATATGTAACAGAAATATTAAGTTCCCCCTTTTTAGGGACGGGAATTGGTCTAAGAGTAGCAATCTAGGAGTTGGACCCAGGTCATATGCAAAAATAGGAAAAGTTTTCTTGGCCTTCAAAGACTTAGCCTTAAAGTTTACTGAATGACGTAATTATTTTACAAAGGCAGTGAAACATTTAACTTTTATGGCAGTGAATGTATTTTAATCAATTCATTAATTTACTGGTTTATTATTTTATTGTCCAAGTATGAGTGTTTTGCCTATATGTGTGTAATATGTACCATATGTGTTTTTGTGCTCATGGGGGTCAGAACAGTATGTCAGATCCCCTGAAACTGGAGTTACAAAGAGTAATGTGGTTGCTGGAAATTGAACTCAGGTCCTCTGGAAGAACAGCCAGTGCTCTTAACTGTTGAACTGTCTTTCAAGCTCCAAGCATTTGAATCTAGTGAAAACATTTGAAAACTAGGTTTAAAGTGGTAGAGTGACTGAGAAATAATTACATCAAAAGGTATGTGTGGAGCTGCTCTTCCAGAGGACTCTCGTTCAGTTCCCAGCACCCGCATCGGGTGACTCAGCTCTGTAACCCCAGCTCCGCAGGGGCCCGTGCCTCTGGTGTCTGCGGGCACTTCTGCTCACTTGCAGCAGCCACATACTGACACACACACACACACACACACACACACACACAATCAATAAAATACAATCTTTTTTTTAAAAGGTGGTTAAAGTACGTACACGATACCACTTTTCTCCGTAGTGTGACTGCTGTCACTGAGGCATTGCTAAGCCTCATTTTCAGTGTTTTTTATACATTTGCACGAGTGTAGGTAGTAAGTAAATTGAGACAAACTGCAGATAAATAGCAAAACATCATCAAATGCATAGAAGAAATCTACTAGAAGAGCCTTGTTCAAACTCTGATGCTGGAGTCACTGACTGAGGGTTTTTGGGGGCGGGGAGCCCTCTCCATGGGGGAGCTTCCTGTTGGTCATTCCCAGAAAGGCCTTTATGTCACGGATGAACAGTAGTAACTGACGCTGGAAATGATTCACTTTTTAGTTGTTCTCTGTTTTTACCCTGTGCTGTTCCTACGTTCTCTCCCTTTCCCTGTCCCTCTCCCTGTCCCTGTCCCTGTCCCTCTCCCAGGCCCCCTCCTCTTCCTCTCCCCTCTGCTTCTCCTCCCTGTTCATTCGTTCTCCTTTCTCTCCCTGTCCTGTTCCCTCTCCTCCCAGTCTCTCTTCCAGTCCCTTTCTCCCCTCTCCGCCCTCTCCCTCTTCCTCCGGTCCTCTCCCCACAGCTCTCTCCTGTTACAGAGCCAGGGGCCAGCCTGACCCAGGACAGGTGAGTTTGAAGGACACGTTGAGACACGTACACTTGGCTCTGAAGTAGGTGGGTTAAACCTACCTCTGAGCCAGCTCCTGAGTGAACTTAAATAGCACACGACAATTGGCCAATATAATGTATGTAATCGTTTCCCTGTATAACCGAAGCAAGCAGGCAGACGCCCATTATGAGCCTCAGTTTACCTTCTGGAGGTGGGTGAACTCAGAGATCAGCATAGTGAACAGTGAATAGAACTCAGAAGGGTGAAGGGAAGCAAGAGCGGAGATTCTGGGAAGGACAGACGTCCAAACGGAGGGGTCAGTAAAAGCCCAGCGAAGAGGAGGTGACAGAATCCGGCGTGTCATGCTTCTGAGAGGAAAGGGAGCATAGAGTCGGGAGAGACACAGCTGTGGACGACCGTGACCTGAGGCGCTGAGGGCATCGTCTTTGATTTAATGAAATCCTCTGGCTGTTTTTGCTTTTAAGGAGTTTCCTGTGGAGAACTCAAAATTAATGCCAGGAGCTTAATTGTCAACCCAAAGCATGAAAGGACATGGGCACAATGAGACATTATATAGCCAGATTTATGCAGACACGGAAACTTGCATAGTAGATCAGATTTATATAGGTTTAAGCAGTTGGGTTAGCAAAGTAAGTCTGATGTTGACTATAGTTTAGTATGAATGTCAAGTAGGAAAAATTCTTTTTAATAGAATTGTTCCTACCTCTGGGACGGTGTAAATTAAGTAAATTTAAGGCTTCATTCAATAAATAAAAACGTATCCAGGGGACTGAAGAGATGGCTCAGCGGGTTAGGAGCGCCTGTGGTTAAGTGGGTTAAGATGATGCAGAAGACCTGAATTCAGTTCCCAGACCCACGTGGAGGCTTAGAACCATCTGTAGCTCCAGTTCCAGAGGATCTGACACCCTCTTCTGATGCTTGCAGGCACCAGGCACACACATGGTACAGATATACATGCAGGCAACCACTCATACACATAAAATAGAAAGAAGGACGTCTTCCTTTAAAAGCCCTTATTGTTGTAAACAGATCATTAACTTTAATTCTACCAAAGTGTAACAGAATTTTGACCTTAGGAATTGTAATTAAATGATGACTACATTATAATCATCTGATGCATGATTAATAAAAACTCAGAGACAGATATTGGGATTCAACCTGAAGACCAAAAAAGCAAAGCGGCCAGCCATTGGCTCTTACATCAGCCTTAGTTCAAAATGGCGATCGTGCCTCCAGGAATCTCAGAATGAGACTGTGTCTATGAGTTGTCTTCTCCCATTTTATAATCTTCTCTAGTTCTGGGATTAAAGGCATGCTCTGCCCGGTGTCTATGGCAACTAGTGTGGCTATTGGGATTAAAGATGTGTGTTACCACTGCCTGGTCTGTAAGGCTGATCAGTGGGGCTGGCTTACTCTCTGATCTTCAGGTAACTTTATTTGTTAAAATACAAATGAAATGCCACTACAGCCATTCTTTATAAATTTCCCACAAAATCTTTTCTTATCTAAAAGTCTTTGACAAAGACCTCCTTTACCAAATCTACACTTTATGTCTGTAACTCTCAGGTCTGTTGATAAATGGGTAAGAACTCGGGAAACCATCCTGTACTGTGGAAACCAGTTATTATCAAAAGCACATCTGTAAAAACAGAGGTTACAGCCAGAATGGAGGCAGGCAGATCTGGTTGACACAGTTGGATCCCATCTCGGAGAGAGAGGGCGAGGGGAAGAAGTTATATTTAAACCTTATTAACTAACAGAAGATGTCTTTGAGCAAAATCCCTCCTTACCTTAAAATATTATATACAAACTGGGCGATGATGGTGCATGCCTTTAATCCCAGCACTCAGGAGGCAGAGGCAGGCAGATTTCTGAGTCCAAGGCCAGCCTGGTCTACAGAGTGTGTTCCAGGACAGCTAGGGCTACACTGAGAGACCCTTTCTTGAAAAACCAAACCAAACCAAAAAAGTCCAAAAACTACTGATACTTACAGCCATAAATATGTATACAACATAACCCCAAATGTATAGCACTTTATAACCCAACAGTCATCAGGCCTTGCTTTCAATACTTACAAAATTCAATGATGTTTGTGTATTCAAATATATCTCAGTTAAAACCCCAACTAGTTTAAATCTTAGTTTGTCAGTGTAGTAAGTAATTATCTTCAACAAAATCATTTAAGCCAGCTTTTGTTCTTGCCTGGTCTCTGATACAGTAGAAGGCACAGACAATAAAGATTGTTCCGTGAGTCTGTAGACTAATTATTTAACACCAGAGAGATGTGGCAGGTCCGAAGGAGAGAGAGAGAAATTATCAAACTGACTGGAAGGCTAAGGGAGCCTGCTTTAAGGCCATAGTGTGATGGGGGGGAGGGGAGGACTTGTCTTGCACTGTGGGGTAATTCAGGTGCCTTCATTGGGTGGATGCGCTTTAACCAAGGTTTCCGACTTCCTAGAGACCCGTCATTCTCTGGATGCTTAGGGAGGCTGTTTTATGAATTCAGAATTCAGACAGGCCATTCAACTCTTTGTGTATAATCTCTGAGCACAGAAACAATTGTGAGAGCTGACTGAGGAAGACACAGAGATAGCAGCTGCAGTGCCTGGGGGATTTAGCATTTCCTGAAGTCCTGAAGTCCCGGGAGGCCCCAGGGAGCTGGTCACAGATACACTCTCTGTAGGGGCTTGCTAGCCCTCTGTAAGACAGCAGAGAAATAGGTCTTATTAGTCCTATGTTCTAATCTAACAGTTGTATGAGCAAAAAATAATTAACTTAATCATTGAACATATGTCATTATTATTACTTTTAGTCTTATTTTATGTATGTGCACGAGGAGAAGGCTTTCAGTCCTATCAAACTGGAGTTGCCGGCAGTTATATGCTGTGATGTGGATGCTGGGAATTGAACCAGGGTTCTTTGCAAGAGCAACACGTACTCTCAACCATGAAGTCACCTCTCCAGCCCTTGAGCATACATTATGATTGCTTTATCTTTTCTACATCATGTAAGTTACTTGGACCTTCACAGTTTGCTGAGATCTTTAAACTCTGCCTTGGTCATTTTTGCTCAAAACAGTGTTGCCATGACGGCAATCCTTCAGGCATTTCCTAATCCTCAAAACACTCCGGTATTTTATGAGACATAACACAGTAAATTCCAAAGTGTATCTGAAGCAAGAGCTGTAGGTTACCTTGTTACCAAGAAAGGCAACAAAACAAAATAAAACAAAACATTAAAACCCAAACCCAAACAAAACCTTGTATGTTAACCTTGTAATTGTTAGAAAAAAAATTTTAAAACAACTTTTTGAATTAAAAAATGAAACCTTATCAGTTTTGGAATACCAAATGTATATATTTTAAAATAGGCAAGTGAAGACTTAAGAAGTCAGACTAAAGCTTAGGAAGTTAGTTTGAACAAAAAATGTGTATACTTTTTATGATTTTAATTTTATTTTATGTGGATGGGTGTTTAGCTTGCATGTGTGTCTGTGCACCACTTGCATGTCTGGTGTTCGCAGAGGCCAGAAGGGGGTGTCGGATCCCCTGGAACTGGAGTTACAGACAGCTGTGAGCCACCATGTGATCGCTGGGAACTGAACCCAGTTCCTCCACAAGAGCAGCCACTCTGCGGCCTCCAAATGTGCTTGTCTTAATTTTAGGAGGTCTCAAGAGCTTAAGAGTGGCGGGCCTTGTTTTCTAAATTAACTTTTAAAGATAAAATTAACAGGTGCTGTAGAAGTTCAGACGGACATGACGCCGGCCGACCAACAGGAGACAATCGACACAGTCAAGCTGTTTACACGGCAACACGGAAGTGTTTTCAGTCTTTAGCATGATGTTTCATGGAACCTGGTTGGAAACTGTGAACACTGAGACAGACCTTTAGCCAAAGCGGGTGTGTGTGCAGGGATAAGGGGTGGAGGTAGGCGGTTTATCGGGTGGCAGTGGCTTGCTGGGGGTGGCAGCAAAGAGAGAGGTGTGAGTGTGGCGGGAAGTTCCACCCCTGTGAATAGTCTGAGCAGACCAGGTTGTCGGGCAGAGGTTCTCAGCCTTCCTCACGCTGGGAGCCTTTACTACAGCTCCTCGTGTCATGGTGACCCCCAACCATAAAATTATCTTTGTTGGTGTTTCATAACTGCAATTTTGTTACTGTTATTAATTGTAATGTAAATATCTGATATTTAGGGTATCCAATATGTGACCCTAAAGGGGTCTTGACCCCCAGGTTGAGAACCACTGTCTTAGGGGGCGCTGGCTTACTAAAACCCCATTTTATTGATTTATTTGCTTATATATTTACTTTTGGAAGACTCTTTAGGTACTGAGCTGTGACGGACAGGGCAGGTTACAAATGCTGCAGGAAGCAGGGGCTGTGGCAGGAAGAGGAGAGAGCTACGTGTCTGAGAGCTGTGGGCAGGAGGAGGAAGAAGGGGACATGAGCTTTGCTCTGATTTGTGGGGTGAAAACTTACCAGCTCATGAAGACTGAGGGTGAGAGAGAGGTTGAGTGTGAGACAGGAATCCAGACAGGCACCCCCGTGGAGAAGAGTGTGCTGGGAGTTAAGGGCCGGCTGGTGTGAGCAGAGAGGGGACAGGGGGCACTTACAACTCCAGGCTGCCTCTTGAGACCCTCAGCCTTTGCAGGCGCCCTAGCAGAGAGGCAGAGAGAAATTTTTCAGAGAAGCATTTTAAAGAGGAAACCATACCACACAGCCTCGGCAGACAGGAGGGTGAGCGAGCTGGGCAGAGACCAAGGGATGCTTTTTAAGGAGGGGCTGCAGCAACAACAGGCTGCTCGAGATAGAAAAAGGTCATTTGCTGCTATGATGATTTAGTTCTCTGAGTCCACATGAATTTTGATGTGAAAGGGACCATTTTCAGGTCACCGAGAGCCACTGTGGCCAGCGCTGTGACAGAAACTATCAGGTTTTGGTCTGACTTCTGGAGGCTAAAAGCTTCTGAGATTATATAAAAAACACCTGAGGGAAGAGAGAAGCACTGAGCAGGGACCCATGAGGCCTGGCCAATGGAGGATGTGGGGAAGAGCAAGAGGGACAGATTTCCTCAGGCCTCTTGACTTCTTCTTAGGGCTACGATAAATATTGCAGGCGATAGATCAAATACAACGTGAAGCATCCTCAGATACTGTCTGAGCTGAGCTGGCTCTGGGCCGAGCTTGGGGCCCAGACTTAGCACGTGACTTAGCACGGAATTTTACCAGGTCTGGAGATGGGTGGGTCCCAAAGACGTTTATCAGAGGAGAACAGAGGCCCTTGTTGGCTGCAGAAAGGGCAGCAATGAGGGACATCCCTGGGGTGTAGTCCATTTAAGAGCAGCCCCATCTGAGTTGTGGCATCATTGCTGCCCCACCACGTAGAAAAGCCTGGATCAGGCTGCACAGCCCTGAAGCCGCTCGCCACTGGTGACTGTTAAAAGAACGATGGCCGAGATGAGGAGTCACTTTCTAAGGGCTCAACCGCCGCACATGCCTAGTGAACACAGTGCTGGGCAGCGGAGATGGAACATTCCACAACTGAGGTGTATCCTACCAGGTGGTCTGTGTGTAGTACCTGATTGCAGTAGATCTAAGTTAGCTAGGACAGAGAACTTAGAGCTGGGGCCATACTGCGCTCTGTGCATTCTGAGTGTTTCTAGGGCTTGTATTCTCCATCTCTGCATCCTGTCCCATTGGTGAGGTTTGTTTGGGGGCGGGGTGTGGGCTGACACTTAAAGGTCAGGTCTTCAGTAGCTGGACTAAGAAAGCTTTGACATAGATCGCCTCCTCACTGATAACTGTTGCTTGCCTGTGTGTCATGGCCCTCATCCGGGTGTGAATGATGGCTACGTAAGCCTGAGAAAGCCAGAACTGTCATGAGATCCCTGTATCCCATAGCCCGAGGGCTGATACCCTTTCCTTGTCCCCTTGTCTTCCTTACGTTGAGACAGTAGGCGTTCACATGGCTGCTGACGGCACAGTCTTCCTCTGGGCATAGATGGTGGCTCCTTCTGGTGGCTGTTTATCGCTCCTGAGTTCTCTTAGCTGGGCCTGGATGTGCATGAGTTGTGGACATGGTCAGACTTTAGCCACCTCAGCACCATGACACTTGCCAGGTTGTTTTATGGTTTATAACCTCCGCTTACTTCTGATATATGACTAGCCTTGCCTTAGCCATTTCTGTGTCTCCCTGAAGGAGCAGGGCTTGGCCTCTGTGCCCCTGAACTGTGGCCTGGCTTCCTGCTCTGATCACTCCCATCTCCTGAAGCTCGCAGATCTCTATTCTGACATCAACCAGCCTGCCGATCTCACTGGTGGGCTGAGCCCCACCTTTGGAGTTAGCTCACTCTCCTGCCCAAGTCCCAGATCCTTGTGTTTCACCAACAGTGAAGTCCCAGCACACCTGGAACTAAGGTTTCTAGTGTTAGACATGGTTAGGAGGACCTTGTGGGCTCGTCTGCCTCAGACAGGTTCACATATAGTCACAGTAATTTGAGTTCAAGGGCACTGGGCAGTTGCTAAGGTTAGGAGTGGATCTGGAATCAAATGTGTGACCAACTTATCTCCAGACTTGGGTCTCTGGCACAGAGAATCTTCTCAGTTGAGGGGTGATCCTGAGGCTTGCGTAGGGTCAGGCCCATCTTTTCTCCATCTAAGCCTCTTGTCTTCCACAGAGCAGTCCGTTCTCCTGTCCCTCTCTGACCTCTTCCTCTTCCACTCCTGACCACATAAAGTTGTGGTCACAGAGGTGGTACCCCAGGCACCAGGAGGTTTCCAAAGACACTAGCAACTGCCCCTGCCACCCATTTTTGCTTGTGCCTCACCCGACTGCCACTGATGGGTGGGGGTTTCCGGGGAGGGGTCTTAATTTCAGAAACAAACAACGTTGCTACCCACGCCATTGTTGAGAGAAGCCCAAGGGAGAACCCACACTCCCCCCACCCTGAGGGTGCTTTTCTTCTCCCTGGCGCTGTAGTTCATTGTCCTCCCTATTCTGGGGAGGACCGGAAAGGGCATGCTCAAGTGAACACAATCTAACTTACCCTTGTGACTAACATGTAAGCCACCAACCCCCCCTCTCTCTCTGCCTCTTACGCCCACCAAAGTTACCAGCCTATGGCTGCAAACAAAGTCACCATGGCTTCAGTGTCCCCTGTGTCTGTCTCAGCGGCAGAGCTATGGACGCCTGACTCTTGTCTACTCAGAGGTCAGTCATATCTCATGTGGTCATCGCTTACCGTTTTGTGACCGAACACCTCCTTCCCCTGGAAACCACAGAGGGGCTACAGGCACCTGGAAAGTCCTCATTTTGTGTCCAGAGGCTGTCCTGTTGAGCTCAATTAGCACGCATGGATTCCAGAAGACACCATGTTTCCACCAGCCCCATACCGTAGACCTACCTATGAGCATGTGGCACGCATGGTTCAGTCAGTGGTTCTCAACCTGTGGGTCACGACCACCCACACCCATTGGAAAACACATATAATCACATTATGATTTATAACACTGGCAAAATTACAGTTATGAAGTAGAAACAAAAATAATTTTATGGTTGGGGGTCATCACATTGTGAGGAACTGTATTAAAAGGTCACACAGCATTAGGAAGGTTGGGAAATTTCCTAATAGATATTACAGGAGATGGTCGACTTTGATATATGGTTTTCTTTTTTATTATTATCTCTTTATTTCTTTTGTTATTTTGGCTTTTTTGAGACAAGGTCTCTCTACAGAACCCTGTTTGTCCTGGAACTCAATATGTAGACCAGAGTGCTGAACTCACAGAGATCTGCCTGTCTCTGCCCTGAGTGCTGGGATTAATACATGTGTTACCATGCCTGGCTACGCCAGGTTTCCATTAGTCCTTGCAAAGCCATTTGGAATTTTGTGAGGTGTGTGCATGAGTGTGTGTGTGAATGTGTGTATTGAGTCCTCTCACCAAATTCAGGTCATGCTTTGTCCCTGAACCTCAAAATAGCATGCTTATGAGTTTCTCTCTAAAAATTCCCCGGGAAGGATTGCTCCCGTGGACTCTGCCAGTAGCTCCTCCCTTCCTGTCTTATGGCTTTGACCCAGTCCCAGGAGCTGGAGTGAGAAAGGTCATGTTCTCATCCATACTCCTGCTGATCCATACTCCTGCTGCCTCAAGCCCTTCTCTTGTCCATGACACAGGGAGGAGTGACGTATATGAGGCAGCCTCACTCTGAATCCTGATGTGGCTTCATCCGGGAAACCCATTACCAGCACTGCAGCTCCCCTGAGGAGGCTTCTGGGTTGGCTAAAGGAGATATGTGGTAGGCATTCCCCTTCTCCACCACGAGTTCCTTAGTGTCCTGTACGAAGGTGGAGACCATCAGCCTTTCTGAATCTTTGACAAGGAGCTCCATGGGGTTCAGGGCTACGGAGTCAAAGGTGCTGGCTGGTAGTACTCTGCATGTGAACAGAAGACCAAGGTCAGGGAGGTTCATCCTGGCTGAGACCTCAGACTTAGAAGGGGAATATGAGGCTAATGAATTTGAGTGTCCTGAAAGGCAATGTTTTACTTTGACAGCACTGTGTGTGTGTGTGTGTGTGTGTGTGTGTGTGTGTGTGTATGTCTACTCCCATGAACACAAAAGCCCAGCTTCCTCTCAGAGGACCGATGCACCCTCAGCTGCTGCTACAGTTGCTGCCTCTGGTCTTGCCCATCAGGCCTGTCAGCTAGGAAAGTCCATCTGCCTATGCTGGGATCATGTAAGAATTTTCCCGGGGAGTTGGAGAACTAGGTAACATCTTCCCTTTCTTCTAAGGTCCCAGTGACAAACCAAAGTGGGATCCTTACTACAGTTCACCCTACGGATACCATTAGTTCATTCGACTTCCTGACAGAGCAGTGGGTGACCCTTAGCCTGCCCCACTAGAAGGTCCGGGCACAGCGTGGATGGTGACTTCCCCATGGCTGCATAGATGGAGCCCCTTTCCTCCCAGTCTTCCCTGGTCAATGTATTCTCCCCTCTCCCAGAGACCCCCAAGGCTGTGTGCAGTTAGGAGAAAATTTCAGATAGTTGGCTTGGAGGAATGGCTGCACATTTGACTGAGGGCCAGTGACCCTTCTTGCCCCTTCTTCTATGAGGGAGCAGCAGCAAGCCCAGGGTGATGGTTTTTGGAAAGCAGCTACAGCTGGCAGCTCTTCTGCTCAGAGGATGAAACAGCTGTGTGATAGTGGCACAAGCCTGTGATCCCAGCACTCGGGAGGCAGAGGCAGGTACATCTTTGTGAGTTCGAAGCCAACCTGGTCTAGAGAGAGAGAGAGGGAGAGAGAGAGAGAGAGAATTCTAGGACAGCCAGAGCTGTTACACAGAGAAATACTGTCTTGAAACCCCCCTAAATAAATAAAATATAAATAAAAATTAATTAAATAGATAAAAAATTAAAAAAAAACCAAACACCTATAACAAAAGAGACCCTCCACAACTGAGACAGAGGTGGACCATGGGCCCTCTAGGGATGAGATGGAGAGAACAGGCTTAAAGTCCAGTTCTCTAAGCAGGTAGCCTTGGAGACAGGACCAGGGCTGGACGAGGGGAGCAGAGCAAAGCTTGACTGCGTCATGGAGAAATCACTTGGGGACGCTGGAACCCTCCCAAGGGACACCCTCTCACTCAGCTGCTCTGGACTAGAGAAGTCACGCCCAGCTGTCCGTGAACCCTCCTCCGTTTCCTGGGAAAGCCCCCCAGTGAAAGTCCTGGCTGGTCCTTCAGTCTTCCGCAGAGTCAGAACCAATTTGCTGACATCTGAGGGGATACGCAAGGTGGTGCTTTGGGGAACTAGGCATGGCAATGGGAGAGCAATTGGAAGTTGCTCCAGGAACACCAAGGTTGCGACAGCAGTAGACTCTCTCCTTGACCTGTACTCTAGGACCTAAGGCAGGGACGTGACCAGCCCGCCTGGGCTATGCGTCCATTCAGCCTTCAGCTCCCAGGAAAATGTTCGTAGAATCCAAGATTAGTCACACAGAAAGGCGCAATTGCTCCACCCCTGCACAAGCAGGGGCACACACACCTACATGTGGCCCCGGCACAGGCATGCCGCTCCTTCCTGTCTTTAGCCACTTCCGTGCTGGAGAGACTTCAAGATGGCTCATCCCCTCCTCCTCTGCCCTCAACCCTCAGGCAGCCCCACCCCTGAGAAAGTACAGCTCAGGGGTCCCCAGGGCTGTGCAGGAAATGCTTTTGTATGCTCTGGGTCAGGCAGGCTATTTTCTGTCATGGGACGGGCGGGAGGCTGGGCCAGGAGCAGCCAGGACAGACATACTCAGCTGTTCTGTCTCCTCGCATGGTCGCCTCTACAGTTGGCAGTGGGTGTCACTTGGTCTCTCAGTGTCTCTCCCCTGTCATTGTAAGTCTTTTTGAGGCACCAGGACAGTTCCTTCGTTGGTGGCCTCCATATCTTCCGAAGTCCAGTGCAATGTCTTCTCTTCAGCGAGCTTTCTCCCGCCCTTCCTATCCTTTTCATAGTCCCATTCTCTGAGCTCTGCCCTGCTGTGGGTGAACTGTGGCCTTGCTTGCCCAGTGAGGCTGAGGGTAGCTCCCCTAACTTTTTTTTCTTGTTTTTTCTAGACAGGGTTTCTCTTGAAACCTTGGCTGTCCTGGAACTCACTCTGTAGACCAGGTTGGCCTTGAACTCATAGAGATGCACCTGCCTCTGCCTCTCGAGTTCCGGGACTAAAGGCGTGTGCCCCCACCACCTGGCTAGCTACCCTAACTTAACGATGTGCAACCCCCCCCCCCAGAAAGTTACTAAAGTTCATTGTTTTTTCAGTTCAAGACGATTAGTTGTGAGAACAAATACACGCGTCTCATGAGTGTTTGGAATCTCGTTGTGGGCATCGTCTCTGTCTTTACAAAATCTTCAGTGCTCAGATGTTGTGTGTGTGGTGTTTACTTTCAGGGAAATGTGATGAATTTGTGACTTTTGGGGGGGGGCGTTGAGACAGGGTTTCTCTATAGCTTTGGAGCCTGTCCTGGAACTAGCTCTTGTAGACCAGGCTGGTCTTGAACTCAGAGATCCACCTGCCTCTGCCTCCCAAGTGCTGGGATTAAAGGCGTGCACCACCACCACCCCGCTGTGGCATTTGCTTTAAGGTTGACAGAAGACAAAACCCCAGGCTGCCCACAGCAGAGAGGGATGAGGACTGCGCTTCCCATCTGTCCACTCTATTGCATACTCCAGGCTCGGCTCGCGGGTGATGGATAGCTCTGAAGTCCCAGG